TATATAATAATCGATTTTACTAAAAATATATTTTTCGAAAAAAAATTAAATATCTACTCTTTTTTTTTTTTTTTTTTTTTTTTAAAGAAACGTAAAAGTAATTTTTGAATTTGAACCAAAAGTGGAGTTAGACGCGTAGAAATGAATGACTACGGATAAACTTCTCGTCATTATCAGTCAACGAGATAGAAAACCGCTGACGCTGCATTCCGGATGTACTTTCGGGATCTACCTTCGTTGAGTGACCTTCATCTCTTAGAATCGTGTCTTATACGAATAATCGACATAGTGAGACTAAAGAACGGTGCATAATAGCTGATATTTAATATCGTAGATACGTTTGATCCTGTTTGTCACTCTACACTTTCGTTTACATTTGGCCCTGCAGCCATAACATTATCTTTTAGCGATAATTTTAAGATGATATGCGGCTTTGTAATTAATAGATTTAACAAATAGATTTATTTGCAGATTGTAAAAATTGAATGTTACATATATCGAATATTAATTCGGTTCTTATAAATTCAAAGATATATATGTACAAATTTTAATATTATGTATTTACATTAAAATAGTTTTACATATATTTCTTTAATTACAAATTCTGTGAAATCTAATAAGTTGCCAAATTTTCAATTCGAATGTATTTTATTCAATATCCAAAATCTATCTTTGTAGGCTTTCTTAGATTTACACCGTGTAAAAATTTTGAAATCTCGCGCGAGTTTCGTTCTTGAAAAATACTTGAAAAGGTTTGCTCATTCAAAATACGAGGGCGACAAAGAGGATTAAAAAAAAAAGAAAGAGAGAAAAAAATGAATGAATATATATTAAGTAGAGGTTGCACGGCAATTCTACTACGTCCGGATAACGCGCCGAAATTTGCTGCTAGCTCGCTCTAGCCTAACCCTAACTGGCAAAGAAGAAGACGAAGAAGAAGAAGAAGAAGATGAAGAAGAAGAAGAAGTGGGCTTACCTACCTGGCGACTCCGCTAGTCGCTATACGCATTGTAGGGAA